CGTGATCAATAACCCCCCAATCACTCGTGATCAATAACCCCCCAATCACTCGTGATCAATAACCCCCCAAGCACTCGCTCGTGATCAATAACCCCCCCAATCACTCCCTCGTGATCAATAACCCCCCAATCACTCGCTCGTGATCAATAACCCCCCCAATCACTCCCTCGTGATCAATAACCCCCCAATCACTCGCTCGTGATCAATAACCCCCCCAATCACTCGCTCGTGATCAATAACCCCCCCAATCACTCGCTCGTGATCAATAACCCCCCCCAATCACTCGCTCGTGATCAATATACCCCCAATCACTCGCTCGTGATCAATAACCTCCCCCAATCACTCGCTCGTGATCAATAACCCCCCCAATCACTCGCTCGTGATCAATAACCCCCCAATCACTCGTCGCGTGATCATAGACCCCCCCCAATCACTGCGCTCGGATCAATAACCCCCCCAATCACTCGCTCGTGATCATAACCTCCCCAATCACTCACTCATGATCAATAACCCCCCAATCACTTCGCTGATCAATAACCCCCCCCCAATCACTCGTGATCGATAACCCCCCAATCACTCGTGATCAATAACCTCCCCAATCACTCGCTCGTGATCAATAACCCCCCAAGCACTCGCTCGTGATCAATAACCCCCCCCAATCACTCCCTCAGTGATCAATAACCCCCCAATCACTCGCTCGTGATCAATAACCCCCCAATCACTCCCTCGTGATCAATAACCCCCCAATCACTCGCTCGTGATCAATAACCCCCCCAATCACTCGCTCGTGATCAATAACCCCCCCAATCACGCGCTCGTGATCATAACCCCCCCAATCACTCCCTCGTGATCAATAACCCCCCCAATCACTCGCTCGGTGATCAATAACCCCCCCCAATCACTCGCTCGTGATCAATAACCCCCCAATCACTTGCTCGTGATCAATAACCCCCCAATCACTCGCTCGTGATCAATAACCCCCCCAATCACTCGCTCGTGATCAATAACCCCCCCAATCACTCGCTCGTGATCAATAACCCCCCCAATCACTCGCTCGTGATCAATAACCCCCCCAATCACTCTCTCGTGATCAATAACCCCCCCAATCACTTGCTCGTGATCAATAACCCCCCCAATCACTCGCTCGTGATCAATAACCCCCCCAATCACTCCCTCGTGATCAATAACCCCCCCAATCACTCGCTCGTGATCAATAACCCCCCCCAATCACTCGCTCGTGATCAATATACCCCCCAATCACTCGCTCGTGATCAATAACCCCCCAATCACTCGCTCGTGATCAATAACCCCCCCAATCACTCGCTCGTGATCAATAACCCCCCCAATCACTCGCTCGTGATCAATAACCCCCCCAATCACTCCCTCGTGATCAATAACCTCCCCAATCACTCGCTCGTGATCAATAACCCCCCCAATCACTCGCTCGTGATCAATATACCCCCCAATCACTCGCTCGTGATCAATAACCCCCCAATCACTCGCTCGTGATCAATAACCCCCCCCAATCACTCGCTCGTGATCAATAACCCCCCCAATCACTCGCTCGTGATCAATAACCCCCCCAATCACTCTCTCGTGATCAATATCCTCCCCAATCACTCGCTCGTGATCAATAACCCCCCCAATCACTCGCTCGTGATCAATATACCCCCCAATCACTCGCTCGTGATCAATAACCCCCCAATCACTCGCTCGTGATCAATAACCCCCCCAATCACTCGCTCGTGATCAATAACCCCCCCAATCACTCCCTCGTGATCAATATACCCCCCAATCACTCGCTCGTGATCAATAACCCCCCAATCACTCGCTCGTGATCAATAACCCCCCCAATCACTCGCTCGTGATCAATAACCCCCCCAATCACTCCCTCGTGATCAATAACCCCCCCCAATCACTCACTCGTGATCAATAACCCCCCCCATCACTCGCTCGTGATCAATAACCCCCCCAATCACAGAAATGCCAAACCCTCCCACGGACGGACGGACGGACGGACGGACACATTAATCTATTGGTGGTCTGGTCCACTTCGTTCCTACCAGTATAACCCCCCCCACTCCCCACTCCCCCACCCCATCACTCCCTCACCACTCCCCCACCACTCTCCCGCCACTCCCCCCCACCCCCCACTCCCCCCCACTCCCCCCCCACCCCCCCACTCCCCCCCCACCCCATCACTCCCCCACTCCCCCCACTCCCCCCATCCCCCACCCCCTCCTCCCTCCCACCCCCCACTCCCCCCCACCCCCCACTCCCCCCCCCCCACCACCAACCGCCGCCATTGGCCACTGAGTGACGGTGACGTCACCACGGCGCCTGTGCCAGGCTGGGTGCACTTCGAGGCTGCCGCGTGAAGTGTCGACGGCTCGACACTGAGGTGGTGACGTCACGCGAGCGTTGTGTTTAACGATTTAACCACGTGACGATATTACGATATTAGCGTAAAAATATGAGCATTAGCTCAAGTGATGTGAATACGTTCGGATTACCTCAAGTAATGTTACATTTACCTGAGGTGATGTTACCTCGCCTGAGGTAAAGTTACCTCGCCTTCCATTGCATTTCGATTACCTTACCCTGAGGTAATAATCACGCGATAATTGTGTTTAACGATTTAACTACGTGAGAATATTACGATAGGGTCATTAGCTGAAGTGATGTGAATACGTTAGGATAACATTAAGTAATGCTACATTTACCCGAGGTAATGTTACCCCCCGCGAGGTAACTTACCTCGCATGAGGTAAAGGAAAAGTTACCTCACCTGAAGTAATTTTACTTCACCTAATGTAATGTTACCTCGCATGAAGTGAAGTTACCTCATCTGAGGTAAAGTTACCTCACCGGTGACGATTTTCTGAACCGGTCCTGGGCCTCATCCCCTAGGTCGACTCGGCCTCAAATGAGTTCCTGGTGTAGCGGTGTGTAGTGAACATCGCCACTGGGGGACAAAGGCGGCCGGGCGTGGTGCTGGCCACCCACCCCCCCCTCGTGTGTCGTTCCGGCCTTCATAGGCGCCGCTACTCGCTCACAGCGCTTGACCCGACAGTCTGTTAAGGCCACACGGGGGATCTTAGTCTCGTATCCCTGTGACTCTGTCTCCCTGTGACTCTGTCTCCCTGTGACTCTGTCTCCCTGTGACTCTGTCTCCGTGTGACTCTGTCTCCCTGTGACTCTGTCTCCCTGTGACTCTGTCTCCGTGTGACTCTGTCTCCCTGTGACTCTGTCTCCCTGTGACTCTGTCTCAGTGTGACTCTGTCTCCGTGTGACTCTGTCTCCCTGTGACTCTGTCTCCCTGTGACTCTGTCTCCGTGTGACTCTGTCTCCGTGTGACTCTGTCTCCCTGTGACTCTGTCTCCGTGTGACTCTGTCTCCGTGTGACTCTGTCTCCGTGTGACTCTGTCTCCCTGTGACTCTGTCTCAGTGTGACTCTGTCTCAGTGTGACTCTGTCTCCGTGTGACTCTGTCTCCCTGTGACTCTGTCTCCCTGTGACTCTGTCTCCCTGTGACTGTCTCCGTGTGACTCTGTCTCCCTGTGACTCTGTCTCCCTGTGACTCTGTCTCAGTGTGACTCTGTCTCCGTGTGACTCTGTCTCCCTGTGACTCTGTCTCCCTGTGACTCTGTCTCCCTGTGACTCTGTCTCCGTGTGACTCTGTCTCCGTGTGACTCTGTCTCCCTGTGACTCTGTCTCCGTGTGACTCTGTCTCCCTGTGACTCTGTCTCCGTGTGACTCTGTCTCCCTGTGACTCTGTCTCCCTGTGACTCTGTCTCCGTGTGACTCTGTCTCCCTGTGACTCTGTCTCCGTGTGACTCTGTCTCCCTGTGACTCTGTCTCCCTGTGACTCTGTCTCCCTGTGACTCTGTCTCCATGTGACTCTGTCTCCCTGTGACTCTGTCTCAGTGTGACTCTGTCTCCCTGTGACTCTGTCTCCCTGTGACTCTGTCTCCCTGTGACTCTGTCTCCGTGTGACTCTGTCTCCCTGTGACTCTGTCTCCGTGTGACTCTGTCTCCGTGTGACTCTGTCTCCCTGTGACTCTGTCTCCGTGTGACTCTGTCTCCCTGTGACTCTGTCTCCCTGTGACTCTGTCTCCCTGTGACTCTGTCTCCATGTGACTCTGTCTCCCTGTGACTCTGTCTCAGTGTGACTCTGTCTCCCTGTGACTCTGTCTCCCTGTGACTCTGTCTCCCTGTGACTCTGTCTCCGTGTGACTCTGTCTCCCTGTGACTCTGTCTCCGTGTGACTCTGTCTCAGTGTGACTCTGTCTCCCTGTGACTCTGTCTCCGTGTGACTCTGTCTCCCTGTGACTCTGTCTCCGTGTGACTCTGTCTCAGTGTGACTCTGTCTCCCTGTGACTCTGTCTCAGTGTGACTCTGTCTCCCTGTGACTCTGTCTCCGTGTGACTCTGTCTCCCTGTGACTCTGTCTCCGTGTGACTCTGTCTCCGTGTGACTCTGTCTCCGTGTGACTCTGTCTCCCTGTGACTCTGTCTCCGTGTGACTCTGTCTCCCTGTGACTCTGTCTCCCTGTGACTCCGTCCTCCGTGACTGCGTCTGACCGTCGTCCGCGTCTCGTCCCTCCGTGTCTCTGCGCCTCAGCAGCAGCAGGTAGAGGTAACTTTACCTCATCTGAGGTAAAGTTACCTCAGGTGAAGTAAAGTTACTTCTATCTGAGGTAAATTTACCTCACCTGAGGTAAAGTTATCTCATCTGAGGTAAATTTACCTCACCTGAGGTAAAGTTATCTCATCTGAGGTAAATTTACCTCTCTCTGAGGTAAGGTTATTTCACCTGAGGTAAAGTTTCCTCCCCTGAAGTAAAGTTATTTCACCTGAAGTAAAGTTACCTCCCCTGAGGTAAAGTTACCTCTACCTGAGATAAAGTTATCCGTGTGACTCCATCTCCGTGACTGCGTCTGACCGTCGTCCGCGTCTCGTCCCTCCGTGTCTCTGCGCCTCAGCAGCAGCAGCAGCAGGAGATGGGCGACTTCCGAGACATCAGAGGCTTCTTCACCAAGGCCGAGTGGAGCGATCTGGCCGAGTGCGAGAAGCGGCGCTACAGGAACATCAAGCAGAACCACGCCGTCCTGCTGAACCTCGGTGGGTACGGCAGGCCGAGCCTCTTCGCAACTAAACTAATTGTCGCAGTGATTATAATGATGAGACCAAGACGTCGTAGCAGAGTGGCATGCATGGGGCGCCATGGTGGCGAGATGTTAACTAACTCGCCTGGTCTACATGAGGTCGTGGGTTCGATCCCGACCCTGACGATGCCTGTCATATATCTGGAGTCTGCGTGTGTCTCTTCCCGGTGAGATGTTAACTCCCTCGCCTGGTCTAGAGGAGGTCGTGGGTTCGATGGCGACCCTGACGATGCCTGTCATATATCTGGAGTCTGCGTGTGTCTCTTCCCGGTGAGATGTTAACTACCTCGCCTGGTCTACAGGAGGTCGTGGGTTCGATGGCGACCCTGACGATGCCTGTCATATATCTGGAGTCTGCGTGTGTCTCTCCCCGGTGAGATGTTAACTACCTCTCATGGTCTACAGGAGGTCGTGGGTTAGATCCCGGTCCTCCGGGTTTTTGCTCCACTTGTAGCATCAACATCACGCGTTTAGAGTATTTGTCTGCTGCTATAAATGTCCACGTGGTAAGCCACTTGGTTGAGCTGTCATTTGTGGCAGCCAGGTCGCTTCTGAAGAAGGAGCCAATAGCTCAGTGGACTTCACCTGGTGAAGTAAAAATAGATTTAGTTTTAGTTTAATGATTTGTTTACCTTTACTCTACTTTGCACGCCTATCGTGTTTGTGTTTTGTGTTGTAACTTTCTGACCCCGTGCCCCCTATGGGACATCTATGAAAAAGAGCTTCATAGCTCATCGGATTCATAATTCTAGTCACGTAGGTAAAAAATAAAATTAAAATTAATCAAAGTAAAATTAAAATTTATAAAAGTACTTTTATTAATTTAAATTGTATTTTTTACCTACGGATTCATAATGTTGGAGAGTAAACCCACAACATTTACAAAAATAGTTTATTTTGACTTAAAACTTTCGTGACTGCAGGAATTCATATTCTTTGGTTCTTTCGATAAAGTGACGTAGATAGAAAAACTAAAATAAAAATAAAGTGAATAGTAAAAATGATAAAGCACTCATGTATAATCAAAACTTTAGAGTTATAAATTAGTCTTCTTGGTTCTTTCGGTAAAGTCACATAGAAGGGAAAAAAAACATAAAATACAATTATTAAAATACAATTTTAATGTTTTCTTTTTAATATTTTATTATTTCCCTTCTACGTGACTTTACCGAAAGAACCAAGAAGATGAATCCCTGCAGTCACGAAAGCTTTAAATTGAAATGTATACATTAGTGTTTTTTTATGGAGCAGTCTAATTAGTGTCTTATTTTTATAATTTTTTATTCACTTAATTTGTATCATTTGAACTGCCTCTATTGGGAGGGTTTCCACATAACCATGAGATCTTTTAACAATCTCCGTGACAAGAAAGTTCATCTGATCGAGTCACTCACATTTCTGAAGAGATGCCGTGACTCTAACGTAATACCGATCTCATTGACACTGATTTCTGCTGCAGTCACATCTTCCAATGCCAGACGAATTTTGTTCAGGGCGAGCTTGGCCCTGATCTCAGAGAGAATTAGACTGCTCCATACTGAACTAGATCATGTAGACAAGACACTCTTGAAATCACACTTAACATTGACGGGAAAAATGTCGACATCTGATTGGGAACATGTAGATAACATGACCGCTTAATCAGCCACTACAATGTCAGCGAAATGTAAAGATCTGATTTTCGAGTTCAACCTCCTTTCTAACAAGAAACCAGATCCACACGTTAAAAGGTTAGACGTTGACAAGGTTGTTATTAATCTGAGTAATAGCCCAATGTGCGATGGTCTAAAGTCGGTTTTGGCTAAAGGGTTGAACTTCTCAGTCACCCCCAAACACATTCCAGTGGATGACGTTATTGCCCAGGTCGATGTCGCTCTTAAGGGTTTGGGGCGCATCGCTGCAGACGTTACAAGATCTGAAATTGCTGCAACCCTCAAAAGCGCTAAGATACCAGTCAGCAACATCAGTGAGGATGAACGTTTTTGTGGTTTTTGATTATTTTTATTCACTTTATTTTTCTATCTACGTGACTTTGCCGAAAGAACCAAAGAATATTTACAAAAAAATGTATTTTGTGTGTGTGTAATTTGTTTACCTTTTCTATACTTTGCACTCCTATCGTGTTTACTGTATTGCTTGGGGTTATTGTAGCAGCCAAATAATATAAATGAACGTAGTAGCGGTACACCGTTGCGCTGTATGAAATAATCATCACATTTTTGGCAAAAGTTATTTATTTCCTCGTGATTCGAGACCCCAGACAAGGATATTTTGGGGTGGTGGTGGTGCGTCAAAATCAGTTGTCGTGATGCCAAAGCGGTGGGAAGACGGAACGTGACATGAGCAGCACTGAACACGAAGCTTCGCAGTCTGTTGCCGTACAGCGGCGCCCAGTCTGATGACGATCGGCTGCTCCGTGCTCCAGTGGCAAGATTGGACTCCTCGTGCCCCTAGAGACTCGGTCGGACGGTGCCTCGATACGACTCGTGGTGTCGCCACCGCACGTTCGGAATGGGGGACGCGGCTGCTGAATCTGAGTGCAACTTCTGATGGAGAGTCCTGCAGCTCACTCAAGGGGCAACGGCGACATCATCGGGACTATGAAAAATAAGAATCGGTTTTACTCTTTATGGGAATGAAACAGGAAGTGTTAAGATGTTCAAACACCAGATAGATTATAGCTTTTGCAAGGAATCAGGTTACTGCATTAACCACGCGTACTGAACATGCAAACAAACACTCTCTGATAACATTTAATCATTGTCTTTGATACTGATTGGTCTACCCCAGAGACAGTCTTCTTCATGGCCTAGTCTCACCAGTGTCAGACCAGAGAACAACACCAAAAGGCGACCAGTACAAAGACAATGCAGTGCCAAGATCATTTATAGCTCGGGGTGAGTAGCTATATCATTGGACCTTTTTGCCAGAATCAAAGTATAAAAAATAGGAATCGGTTTTACCCTTTCTGGCAATAAAACAGGAGCTGTTAAGATGTTCACACACCAAATAGATGATTCCTTTTTGCAAGGAATCAAGTTACTGCATTAACCATGCGTACTTGTGTTGAACACGCAAACAAATGTTGAGGTCGCTAGCCCCCGAGATCCCTCCCTCGATAATGCTAACCGCCGGGCTAACATCATCAATCGCCCCCCCGCTGCTAAGCGAACCGCTGCTAGGTTCCTCACCCATGGTGTGGGAGCCGTCGCCCGAGGATTCCCCTCCACCGCGGGTCCGCGTAGTAGGCATGGTTGGATACCGCGTAGTTTTATGTCCCCCTTTACGCTACCACGATACCTCCCTTTCCTAATCGCGTACCTGCGACCCACACGGAGCGAACGTACGCACACACACACACACCGCTCCGTGCACTCCAACTCCACACTGACTACTCGCGTTATGATCGTGCACCTGTATCACACGCGGAGTGAACACACGCGACACCCACTCTCGCACCGCTCTGCGCAGCGCTCCCCCGAGGCGAGCCGCAGCACTACAGAATCACCGCGCACACACGCTCCCCGCGCGCTCAGCTCCGCGCAGCGCTCACTCACGTGGCGAATCACCGTGCACACAGCGCACCCACATGCTCACACTGCTCGACCAGATCACGCGAGACCACGCTTCGCTATTAATGATTTATTATCTGATACCTGGCAATTTAATGTTAAATCAGTGAGTCGACGAGGCTGGCCTACGCTGATACCTTTATACCTATTCCCGATTTATCTGCTATGATTCCAATTCACCTTCTTACTCTCTGTTGGATGCCCACGGCGGTTCGTTGATCACGTACTCGCAGCGTGCCTCGATGCGTCTCACGGACGTTCGGGTCGCTGGACTGGAGAGCGTCCTGTTGCCTGGCGCTGGAGAGAGAGAGCGATTTCCCCTTTGCGCCCCCGTATTTATCCTCCCTACCTCACAGGGATGCTGCGCTGAACAATGGGCTCGTGCACCCCAAGCCCGCGCACGGCGGTTCCGGGCGCTTTTGATCTGCTAATCAGTGAGCTGCGTTGGCGGCGTACATCCTAATTACTCCCTTACCCTGCGCGCTCAAGCGTAATTATGCCGTCCCTCCGCTGCCGGTGCGGGGGTGCCTGATTATGCAGTTCAGATGCGCTGCGTGTTTTCTAATGATGCTCCTCCATTACAATGCTTATTCCCTCTGCCTGCCCCGTCGATACTGGCGTGTGTGGGGGGAAAATGCGCCTCCACCGCGGTGGCCGAATGCCCCACGCCGCGACCACACCATATTAAGGCTGGTCGCAGCGCCGCGGCGCAACGTAGCACGGGGGAGGTCGTCCAATTCCCTGATCGCCGGAAACCGTGAGAGTTAACCCCGATAAGAGTTTCTCGGATAAAAACCGGTCGGCCAGGTAACCTCCCCTTCCAGCTTTATGGGTGGGGGAAAATGCGTGCGGGTGTGTTCATGTGAGGTGAGGTGAGGGGGAAGCGGGGTTGGCTCCGTTGCTTGGTGGTGGCGAGGTCGGGGATTTGGGCGCCTGTCGAACGGCTTCGTGGCGGCGGCATCACACAAACACGCTCTGATAGTAATCACATCGTCAGGACTGTGTTACGAGGACCCGGTGTGTTGCTATGCTGCACGGGTGTACTGCCAATACGTACAAATAACAATGACCGACTGCCTCCTTGCGCAGGGATGAACCCGGCCCAGCCCGAGTTCATGCGCGCACGCGGCAAGCGCAGGGCGAGGGGGAATGGAGCGGAGTGCGGGCGGTCGAGCGACTCCGACGAGGAGTGGACGGGGAGGAGGAAGAGGAAGGAGGTGGCGATGCACGGAGGACGAAGAGGCAAACGTAAAAGGGCGCTTGCAGACCGTGCAGAGACCCCCTGTAGACTCACACAGAGACCCCCTGTAGACTCACACAGAGACCCCCTGTAGACTCACACAGAGATCCCCTGTAGACTCGCTTGATGAAGCTGGTTGTAATCACCAGTGGAACATCACAGTACCATTCTCGAATTGTGAATTTTGTGGGTTTACTGTCCAACACACAACCGGTTAGTGCTGAACTAGTAACTAATTGGCACGTTTTGTTTACCTGACAAACCTTACGGATTGGCTGCGTCGGGTGGTGACGGGTTTAACGACACATTCATATTTACGCGATATAACCCAAAAAATTAATAATATTGGTCGCGAAATCCTACATGTTAAACTGGTTAGCAGTCTGCGCTATGAACCTGGCGACCCGGGTTCGATTTCTGCTCACGGTCAACACCAGTGACGATTATCTAAACTGGTCCTGGGCCTCCCCTAGGTCAACTCACCTTCAAATTAGTACCTGGTACAGTGTGTAAACATCGCCACTGGGGAGACAAAGGCGGTCGGGCGTGGTGCTGGCCACCGACCCCCTCGTGTACCGTTCTGGCTCACTAACAGCACTTGCCCCTACAGTCTGCTAAGGCTATACGGGGGATATTTGTCTTTGCATATGTTCATGCGTGTCCGCGTGTTCACACGTGTGTGCGTGTGTTCACGGGTATCCATGTGTTCACACACATGGACACGTGCGTGCGTGTGTTTGCGGGTGTTCACGTGTGTGCGTGTGTTCTTCTTATGAACAAAAGAATGAAGGGGGCTTGGGAGCGTGGCGATGAGGTGTGGGAAGCTGTAAGGCCCAGGCTACTTTGGGCTCGCCTTCCCATCAACAGGAGGCGAGGAGTGGTGGTCGTGGTTACTTATGCCCCCACCGAAGACGAACATCCGTGGAGGGATGCAGGCAAAGCCGATGATTCAGATGCCTTCTATGACCTCCTGTCACAGGTACTGGCTAAAGTGGCCACTCGGGATAGAGTCATCTTGTTGGGTGACTTCAATGCCCGAGTTGGTCATGATACTGGCACCTGGTCTGGAGTGATTGGAGGGCATGGGCCAGATCAGTTCAATAACAACGGTAGGAGGCTGCTAGATTTTTGTGCAGCCCATGGGCTTGTAATTACCAACACGCTCTTCCGACATCGGCGCATCCACACAACATCATGGATGCATGCCGGGTCCAAGCAAGAACATCTGCTGGACTACATAGTGATGGACCAGCGGATGCGAACCCATGTCTTTGACACCAGGACCTACTGTACCGTGGAGCTGATCTGCCCTCTGACCATCGACTAGTCATCTGTAAGATGCGCCTGCCATTCTTCCACTCTGGTGGTGGGTGTACACCCAGGACCCCATTCCAACCTAAAGTGGCCTGGTTTTAGTTAGCTGATGAAAGTTGCAAGTGAGAATTTCATCATCGCTTGCGGCTGGGGTTGTGGCATCATCCCCCAGTCTTCCTGATGTCGAGGGTAAATGGGCGAGGTTTAGGACTGTGACTCATGCAGCTGCAATGGCTGCTTTGGGTACGCGTTCCAGAACTCCCCAGAGACCCTGGCTGACAGAGGAGGTGTTCAGGATAGTTGAGAAAAAGTGACAGGCCCACTCTCATCGGCTCCAGCATCCCACGTCAGACAATGAGGCGCTTACCGCAACCTTCGCTCGGAGGGTTGAAGAGCCATAAGGCGCTGCAAGGATGGGTGGTGGTCACGGGTTGCTGAGGAGATGGAGTCTGCCTCAGTGGCCCACGATCACAAATCACTATTTAACTCCATCAAAAAAGTAACCTCCAGCGCCACACCGATTACCATCATTAGGGGAAAAAACGGTGATCCAATCTCCGACCCCCAGGAACAGGTTTGCAGATTTGCTGAGCATTTCTGTGAGGTCCTGGGGGAGGGGAAATCCCTCAGCCAGGAAAACATCATGGCACAAAGTGGGGATGACCCTGCTGAGGCTGTGGTGCCTCAAATATTGGAAGAAGTCACCCTCTGTGAGTGGCTGGCTGAGATGCCATCTGTTGAGGAAGTACTGAAGGCGATCCGGAGTCTGAGACCAGGAAAGGCACCGGGCAGAAATGATCTCCCAAGCGAAATGATGAGGGAGGGTGGCGTTTGTGCACAGACTGCCCTATATGACATCATAACAACAGTCTGGACCACTGGACGGGTACTGCAGAATTGGAAGGATGCCCTGGTGGTCCCCCTCTTTAAGAAGGGGGACCGTACAGACTGTAACAACTACAAGGGCATCTCACTCCTCAGTGTGCCGGGAAAGGTGCTGGCAAGGATTATTCAACATCGCCTTGCTAGGCACGCTGAGGAGAGGCTTGCGGATCCCCAATGCGGTTTCAGGAAAGGGCGGTCCTGCACAGATGCCATATTTTCTGTCCGTCTGCTACAGCAGAGGTGTAGGGAATTCCAACAAGACCTACATCTCTGCTTTATTGACCTGGTCAAGGCCTATGACACCATCAGTAGGCCTGGGCTCTGGGTTGTTCTTCGTGCTTTCGGAGTCCCTGACCCTCTGCTCACGATCATTAAGGACCTTAATGATGGTGAGCGGGCCCGGGTAAAACTACGTAGCCGGGAGTCGGAGCCATTCCCTGTACACCTTGGGGTGTGACAGGGATGTCCTCTGGCTCCCACATTATTTAACATCAATTTTGACCACGTAGTTCGTGAAGCCTTCAATAGCTGTACCGAGGGAATTTCCATTTGGTAGATATAATGGGAGGCTGATCGATGCCTGGGTGCGATCAAGGGATGGCTCCCTATTGGTCAACCACGTTATGTATGCCGATGATGTAGTAATAGCTGCTCATTCAGAGGAGGAGTTGGAGACGCTGCTGCTGAGACTGGAGAATGCCACTAGGAGGTGGGGCCTTACCATCAGCCCCACCAAAAACTAAGCACCTGCCTGGGCATTTTGTACCATTGGACACTCCACCCATACAACTCACTCCCAATCAGTGATGGGGCAGTTGTGGAGAGAGTGGAGAGTTTCCCATACCTGGGCAGTGTGCTTATGACCGGCTCCAGTTTAACAGCAGAGGTCTCACTCCGAATCAGTCAAGCGGCAATATATTTTCATCGGTTGCGTAACGCTGTGTGGAAGCTACCTGGTCTGTCACTCCGCACGAAGCTTCAGGTTTTCTCGGCCACAGTCATTCCCTTCCTTCTCTACGCTTGCAAAACGTGGACCCCCCTAATGGAGCATCTTCGCTGGTTAGAAACATTTAGGCTGGCCTGCCTACGATCCATCCTGGGTTTTACCAGGCTGGATTGTGTGAGGAGCTCACAAATCCTTGAAAGATCTGGGCAAAGTCCCATCGGTGAGCTCCTCCGGCAGGCAAGGCTGCATTGGCTGGGTCATGTAGCCCGCATGCCCAGCCACTGCATGCCTAAACAGCTTTTGTTCGGCCGGATCGAGGGGGCTAAACAGGCGTGACACGGGCTAGAGAAGAGATGGAGTGATGTGGTACAGGAGGACATGGAGCTGAGTGGACTTGCCAAGGACTGGTACCAGCGGTGTCAAGATCGGGCTCTGTGGAGGAGGCTCGTGAAGGACGCCCTCCAACAACAACGGAGGGCGGAGGAGCGACGCTCACAACAATGAGCGGAGCGCCGGGTGGCAAAAGCACAGCAAGTTGGCACAGTAGGGGGCACAGGTGGTGCATCAGCCATTCATCTCGGTCATCTTAGTCAATCGACCCGTGGCGCCTAGGTCTGCCCCGTGACCTCCTGCCAGCGGGCGTTCTACACTTCACGTGGCCTCAAGGTGCACATGGCCTGGCACAAACGTCGTGGTGATGTCACCGCCAATTAGTGGCGAATGGCTGTTGTTGTTGCGTGTGTTCACGTGCGTGCGCGTGTTCACGTGTGTGTGTTCACGTGTTTGTGCGTGTGTTCACGTGCGCGAGTGTGTTCATGTGCGTGAGTGTGTTCACGTGTGTGTGTGTGTTTACGTGTGTGCGTGTGTTCACGCAGGAGGAGGCAAGGGGGCTGCTTCACGCTGGGCCACCGTGGGAGAGTGGCACGCGAGGGCAGCTCCCAGCAAGCGCAAGGTCTCTGTGCACAGCGCACGGCACTCCTCTCGTTACAGCTGCTGCTGCTGTTGTTGTCTTTAGTTTGTTGTCCTTCCCCCTCACCTCCCATTAACGAGGATGGCTACGTACGGTGCCAAATAAATTCAACGTACATACATACTACTAAACACTGCTATATCAGGGACGTGCGGTCAGGGGAGGCAGGCGAGGCAGAGTCTCGCCTGTCATATACTCCAATGAAAATAGCTGTTACGAAAAGTAAAAAGAAATGTTTCACTGATCCGTGTTATAAATGTAATTTCTGTATAATTCCAATCATTACAGAGAAATAGGAACAGGCACGCGCTTATCGCTGCCTCACGTACAGACGAGACGTACGCCATGATACACTACTATACACTACACTATTCATGACTAAATACTACACGACACACTACACCATGATACACTACTATACACTACACTATACACTAATATACACTACATTACTATACACTAAACACCTAACGTACACACACACAACACGTACACACGAGACGTTCGCCACTCCTCTCTAGGATCCGAGGTGATAGAACAGAACCTGAGAAGGGCGTAGACAAGCGTAGACACCGTGACCACGGTGACAATGACCACTGGGTTTGCAACGCGCGCAGACTCCACGAGACGGGCAGACGTCGATGTCCCATCGCAGACTCGGAGGTTACGGAGCTCAGAGTCACGGTTCACTGAGCTACAGAGTCGCTCTTTTTTTCACAAGCGGTACCCGGCTATCACAACTCATAGCTCAACGAAGCGGCTGATATCATCATCACGTGGATATTTCTAGCGGGAGTCAAATACTCTAAAACGAGCGATCCGGATTCTCAATGTGACGGGAAAAACCGAAGGACCCAGAGAAAAATCCACGCAGCGACCACCACATCAGGGTCAGGATCGAACACATGACCTCCTGCGTACCAGGCGAGGTAGTTAACATCTCCTAGCTACCATGCCCCCTCTGCATGGCACTCTGGTACAACGTCTGGGCTTATTATTATAATTAGTTTATTCATTAGTTTAGTTGTGAAGAGGCTTGGCCTGCCATACCCACCGAGGTTCAGCATGACGGCATGGTTCTGCTTGATGTATGGAATCAGATTTACAGAATCAGAATATCAGAATTAGAATATGTATTGTACTGGAGGAATCCGATGAGGTGTCAGGGTCGAGATCGAACCCGCGACCTCCTGCGTACCAGGCGAGGGAGTTAACATCTCCTAGCCACCGCTGGTCACCGCACCAACTCCGCCCCCCACACCCCCTCCGCCCCCTCACCCCACCGCCCCCTCCGCTCAGACTAAAGCGAAAGCCCTGGAGTACGTGTGGAGCATCTTGCAGGGCGTGGAGGAGGAGCAGCAGCAGGAGGAGGAGTTCAGGGGATTTGAGCTGAGGGAGGTGCACAAGGCCAGGATGGCGATGTTCAGGCTGGAGCGCAGAGCCACCGCCTGCAAGGAGGCCCTGAGGGTGGCGCTCCAGAGGATACGTGGAGGTGCGTAGCCTGCAGCGGTGATTTCTATTCACACCAGAACTCCACACTCCCCTCTATTCCCACCGGAACTCCACACTCCCATCTATTCTCACCGGAACTCCACACTCTCCTCTATTCTCACCGGAACTCCACACTCCCCTCTATTCTCACCAGAACTCCACACTCCCCTCTATTCTCACTGGAACATCACTCTCCCTGCTATTCCCACCAGAACTCCACACTCCCCTCTATTCTCACCAGAACTCCACACTCCCCTCTATCCTCACCGGAACTCCGCACTCTTCTGTGGCTGCTGATGGAAGTCGCCACTGCTGTTGATGCTACTGCTACATGTGCTCCTGTCAGTGCTGCTGCTGGTACTGATGCAGCCTATAAACTAAGCGATGTTTCTTTTACCAGGGTAAGCCGCACTGAGCTGTGTAGATGTTTTTCAGAAGCGACCTGGCTATCACAAATGAGAGCTCAACGAAGTGACTTGTCATCATCATCATTACGTGGACATTTACAGCAGCCAAATACTCTCAACACGTGACGTTGATTCTAAATGTCGAGGGGAAAAACCGGAGGACCCGGAGAAAAATCCACGCAACCACGGGGAGGTACAATATGCAAACTCCAAATATACAGCGTGGGTCGTCAGGGTCGGGATCGCACCCACGACCTCCTGTATTCCAGGCGAGGGAGTTAACATCTCGCCACAGAGGAGAGAGAGACACGCAGACTCCAAATATACAGCAGGCTTCGTCAGGGTCGGGATGGAATCTGCGACCTCCCGTATACCAGGAGAGGTAGTCAACATCTCGCCGTGTTTGCCTGCAGGCTCCTCCGTGCCGCCGGCCTCCGCCCAGGCTGTGGCGGTGTCGCGCAGCGCTCGCTCTCGCTACGGCCTGCGCCCGCGCGAGAGGAAAGTCTACACAGAGGTGGAGGAGCCCCAGGACGACGACTTCTTCTGTGAGACCCCGTGCTCCCCCTACCTCTCTCTCACTTTCTCACAATGTCAGTTTGTCACACTCTCATACTCTTAGTTCTTTCGGTAAAGTCACGTAAGTAAAAAATGAAATAAAAATTTATAAAAAATAAAATAAAATAAAAATCACGACGATTCGGAGGCAACACAAGTCTCCGTCATCAGGTGGGACCGTCACAGCCAGATTTGGTGCATTATTTTATTATTTATTTTATTAATTTTAATTTCATTTTTTACCTACGTGACTTTACCGAAAGAACTAAGAGTATGAATCCTTGCAGTTGTGGGGGTCGCTAGCCCCCGAGATCCCTCCCTCGATAATGCTAACGGCCGGGCTAGCATCATCAATCGCCCCCCCGCTGCTAAGCGAACCGCTGCTAAGTTCCTCACCCATGGGGTGGGAGCCGTCGCCCGAGGATTCCACTCCACCGCGGGTCCGCGTAGCAGGCATGGTTAATTACGTACGCGCACACCCACACACACAGCTCTGTACGGCACTCACTCTTGCGCTTCTCTGCGCCGCGCTGGCCGCTCACGTTACAATCGCGCACCTGGGGTACGCCGATTACGCACGCCGCGAGCTTACGCACACACAGTACCACACGCGTTCCCACACGCAACCCGCGCGCTCAGCTCCGCGCAGCGCTCACTCCCGTGGCGAACCACTGTGCACACAGCGCACCCACACGCTCACACTGCACGACAAGATCACGCGAGACCACGCTTCGCTATTAATGATTTATTATATGCCACCTGCGAATTGATGTTGAATCAGTGAGTCGACGAGGCTGGCCTATACCACTAAACCTGTACCTATTCCCTATTTATCGGCTATGATTCTAATTCCCCTTCTTACTCACTGTTAAGTGTCCACGGCGGTCCGCTGATCCTTCTGTTAACCGCGTGCCTCGGTGCGTCGCACGGACGTCCGGGTCGCTGGCTCGAGCTGCGTCTGGTCGCCTGGCGCTGGAGTAAGAGAGCGATTTCCCCTCTGCGCTCCTCTATTTATCCTCCCTACCTCCCAAAGGGGATGCTGCGCTGAACAATGGGCTCGTGCACCCCAAGCCCGCGCACCGCAGTCCCCAGGCGCTGTTGATATGCTAATCAGTGTGCTGCGTGCAAGGCGTAAATCCTAATTACTCCCTTACCCTTCCTACCAATGGGGCTTGCGCGCTCAAGCGCAATTATCCCAACCCTCCATGACTATGCGCAACAGCCCCTGTGACCCCGCTATTCATGCTGTCCCGTGCCTCCCCTGCTCGCCCCGTCGACCCGTGGGAGTGTGTGTGGGGGGAAATGCGCCTCAACCGCGGTGGCCGAATGCCCCACGCCACGACCTACCATATTAAGGCCGGCCGCAGCGCCGCGGTGCCACGTAGCACGGGGAGGTCATCCAATTCCCTGATCGCCGGAAACCGTGAGAATTAATCCCGATAAGGGTCTCTCGGATAAAAACCGGTCGATCAGGTGACCTTCCCTTCCAGCTCTATGGGGGGGGGGGGGTGCGTGCGGGTGTGTGCTTATGTGGGGCGGGTGATGGGGGGCAGTGCGGTGGGGGAAGCCGGGCGGCTCCCTGGTTCGGCAGAGCGGCCCCGTCGTTGTGGCACCACATAGCCCCCCGGGGTGCCAGTCCCCGTCCCGGGTTGACTGGAGCACCTCGCCTGGGTTGCCCCCACGAGGTATCGCCGCGGGGTCCGCGGGATTCGCCCGGCCCTTGTGGCTGGCCTCGGGGGTGGCGGCTCCGTCTCCTGGGGCTCCGGCGGTGGTCTCCTCCTCCATTCCAACGGCTCCCCTCGGCCTCTGGCACCTGCGGGCTGGGGAACAAACTCAGAGGCGGTGGGGTTTAAGGGTCGCCGTCCTCGTCGCCCCCGGCCCCGCCCGGGGCCCCTCGGAGCCCGGGGCTCCGTGGGGCCCATGTACTGCGCGAGGCCCCCGGGCACGGGGGGTGGGGGGACCCCGGGGTTTCGGGGTACTTGGACGGCGGGGCTCCCCCCCTCGGGGGCTGCTCGCCACGGCTTCAGTCGGCGGATGTTGACCACCATCTCCCGGCCCCTCTCTCCTCCCTGAATCAGCACCGTCCATGGTGAGATCTGCCGTCTCACAATCCAGGGTCCTCGCCAGTAGGTGGTCAGCTTCCCCACCTGTCCGGCACCGACGCGGGGAGTGTACAGCCACACCTCGGAGCCCGCAGTGTAGAAGGGGGGCTCCATACGGGGTCGGGCGCCCTGCTCTTGCCGCTGGTGCGCGGCCTCTCCGTGCGGGCAGGCTCGGCCCCTGGCCCCTCGCAGGGTCTCCAGCAAGTGCTCCACGGGGTGGCTCCCTTCCTCCCGTTGCGGCGGAGGAACACCGAACAGCAGATCTGCGGGCAGGCGAGACTCGCGACCAAACATCATTAGGAACGGGGTCTGTCCTGTAGAGGTGTGAACGGCGGTGGTGTAGGCGAACAGGGCATAGGGAAGGTGTTCGTCCCAGTCCTGTTGATTCGCGGCCGCCATGCGTTTAAGCTTCCCGGCCAGAGTCTGGTTCATCCTCTCTACCATCCCGTTCGCCTGGGGGTGATACGCCGTGGTTCGGTCCTTCTGGATCCCGAACTCTCGGCACAGCGCCTGAAATAATTCGGCCTCGAATTCACTACCCTGGTCGGTAATGACTCGTTCGGGGATCCCGCACTTAAGTACATAGTTTTCCACGAAGGCCCGGGCCACTACAAGGGCTGTTTTATCTGGGATAGCCACCGCCACGGGGTAGCGGGTGAAGTATTCCACCGCTACGAGAATATATCGGTTGCCCCGGTGGGATCGTGGAAAGGGCCCCTGCAGGTCGATTCCGACCAACTGATTCGTCCGACTGACTCGGAACGGCCTCAGGGGTACCTGGTACCTCGCCGGCTTTTGCCCACACTGCTGACAGGCCCGGCAGCCCTGCACCCAGGCGGCCACATCTTGTGCCAATTTGGGCCAGAGATACTGGCGACGCAGGGTCTCCCGGGTGCGCCGTTCCCCATCATGGCCCCCGAGTGGGTGGTCATGCACCAGCCGTAGCAGCTGGGGTCGCACCTGGGCAGGAACACAGATGCCCCCCGGCTGGCCGGCCTCGGTTAACTCCCGTACCACTCCGTTCCGCACACACAACCGGGCATACAAACCGCTCCAGGGTCCTGGTAGGGCGCTCTTTTCCTCCCGCAGTGCCGCCTCCACTGCCGCCAGATCCGGATCTCGCTGCTGGGTCTGTCTCAGCTGCTCGTCGTTTAGGCCCGGGAAGGCGCAGCCGACGTCCTCCTGGATCCGTCCGATCGGGTCCCGAGCCGCGGGTCCCGCGCTTGCCGGGCGGTCGACGGGATCCTCAGTGCCACCTGTGAGGGTTTCTGTGGCGCACACTGCACTCTCCCTCGCTGGGGGGGGGTCAGTGGCCGCGGCCTCTCGGGGGTCCGTTGCCTGCCGGCAGCGTCCCGCCGTGAAACACGGGCAGGCCTCCTCCGCCCTCGTCTCGGCGTACACCGTGGGTCGCCTCGATAAGGCGTCCGCGTTTGCATGCGTCCGGCCAGCCCGATACTCGATTTGCAGGTTGTACTCCTGCAACTGCGCCAACCACCGGGCCATCTGCCCCCACGGCTCCTTGAATGTAAGAAGAAACTGCAGAGCATAATGGTCAGTGCGTACGCGACATCTCCTGCCGTACAAATACGGCCGGAACTGTTTGCATGCGAAAATCACGGCGTACAACTCTTGGCGGGTCACGCAATAGTTCAGCTCGGCCCCACTCAAGGTCCGGCTGGCGTACGCGATGACTCGTTCCGTCCCATCCTGTACCTGTGACAACACCGCGCCCAGCCCGCTGCTGCAGGCGTCGGTGTCCAAAATAAAATCGGTGGTAAAATCGGGGAAAGCGAGGGTGGGGGCGTGGGTGAGGTGGTCTTTGAGAGTGGTGAAGGCCGTCTGGCAGGCCCCCGTCCACTGGTAGGGGTGCTTAGGGGAGGTGAGTTGGGTGAGGGGGCGTGCAATCTCGCTGAATCCCTTTACAAATCGACGATAATAGGTGGCGAGCCCCAAAAATGATCTGATCTCCGTCAGATTCCTTGGCCGTGGCCACTCCACTACGGCGCGTACCTTCTCCGGATCGGTGCGCACGCCTGCCTCGCTGACGCGATGCCCGAGGTACCCCACCTCGCGTTGTGCGATGTAACACTTACGTGGCTTGAGCTTGAGATGAGCCGCTCGCAGCCGCTGGAACACCTCTCGAAGCCTGGACCAATGCTCAGACAAAGATCTACTGAACACTATCACATCGTCCAAGTAAATCAGGCACTGTTCCCACTGCAAGCCCCGCATCACCAACTCCATCAACCGCTGGAACGTCGCGGGCGCGTTAGTGAGTCCGAACGGCAACACTCGAAACTCAAACAGGCCCATCGGGGTGGTGAATGCTGTTTTTGGCCGATCCTCCTCCGTCATCTCCACCTGCCAGTAACCGGACGCCAGATCGAGGGTGGAAAAATACCGCGCTCCTGCGAGACTGTCGAAGGTGTCGTCGATGCGAGGTATGGGGAAGGCATCGCCGAGCGTGACTGCGTTTAGTTTACGGTAATCGACGCAGAATCGGGTTGACCCATCCTTTTTCGTTACTAGTACCACCGGGGCTGACCAGGGGCTCGCCGAGGGCTGAATTATGTTATCGCGAAGCATGTCCCCAACTGCCTCTTTGATTTGGACGCGTTCGGGTGCGCCCACTCGGTACGCAGGGAGTTTGATGGGTCGGGCTGCACCGGTGTCAATTTGATGCTTAACAAGGTCGGTCCGACCCACGTCCGAGTCGTGTTCGCTGAACACGTCGGCATACTCCCGCAGTAACTCGCGCAACCGATCGGCCTCTCCCTTAGGTAAATCCGCCCATGGAACATGTAACGCGTCGAGCAGGGGAACGACCTCGGCTCGGGGAGTCGGGCCGACTCGCCAGGCCAGGTCCTGGTCACCCTCAGGACGCCCGGGGTCCTCAGCCCAGAGTGCGAACACCGAGTCGTTAGAGTGGCGTGCGTGCAGGGGGTGTACGGTGGCTATTGGGGTGCGCCGTCGCAGTATCGCTGGGGTATTGTGGGGGTTAAACATCCGCATAAACAATCGGTCCCCATCTGCGTTTACCAATGTGGCGGATCCCACTAACCCATACCGTTTTGCCAACTCCGGGTGAGGAGTTAGCATTACCTCTCCTGATGGTCGGAGCGCGGGGTCGATGGGGGATGTTGCCACCGGCACCAGCATCTCGGTGAGCGGGCCGATGGTGACTGCCGTCGCCAGGATAGCGGCCACAGGTGCGAAGCGGGGGCGCGTCGGTTCTCGTCCCAAGAATGGTATCCGCTCGCCGTTGCTCTCCATGGTGGCGCATCGCTGGCGGGGTTGCACGTTGAGTCCCAGCCGTTCTAAGAGGTCGGTACCTGCGATACACTCGTGACACAACGCACTCAACACGTAGAACTCCTGGGTGCACACCTGACTGCCTATGCGGACCTCTAGGGTGGCTCTCCCCAGCAGCCCCATTCCGGCTCCGCTCGCAGTGTGCAGCGCGCGGTCCGGTGCCTGCAGGTGACGCACGTCGACCCCGATCGCGCTGCAGTGCGCTGCGCTCACGAGCGAGGCCACCGCCCCCGTGTCCAGCAGGATTCGGGTACGCACCCCGTTAACCTCCCCTTCCACCAGCGACGTGGCCCCCGTGATCCCCGCCACCAGCTCCCGCAGCCAGTCGCCAGGAGTCACCGTTTCCGTGGGCGTTGTTGCTGGAACCTGTGTGGAGATCACTCGCTCGCCATTATTCTCATTATCGTCTATTTGTATCGGGACCGCGTCGATTGCACCCCTAGTTGGTCCGCTCACTAGGAGGCGTTGGAGTTTAACCCCCGCGCCTGCCTAGCTCGGGTGATTTCAGGACAGTCTCTCACTAGATGCCCTCGGCGATCGCACATATAACATGCCCGGGGAGGGGGGGCGGTTCCGTAGCGGGTCCCCTGTCCGCTCCCTCCCCCCCCATTACGCCGCTGTCCACCCTCTGCCTCTAGTCGGGCTACCCTCCCAGATAACCCTCCCACCGTGGCGCGTAGGTCCCCCATTTCGGATCGGATGGTCTCAACGGAGGATTGCAGTTGGGTCATATTTTTATTCGTTTCCTCGCGTACCTGGGTTACCCTCTCACCTACTTGGTTTACCTTGTTGTCTATCTGGGTTACCTGGCCGGAGACATCCTTTATACCCGTTTGTATACCGGCAACCCATCCCGGAGTTGTCTCGCGGGACACTGGAGGCTCTCTTTCCCGGCCCCTTACCGTCCTCGCGAGCTCCTGTTCCTCCTCCTCGTCTTCCGAGAGCAGGCTCGCAATGGCGCGCTCTCGTCCCAGCCCCCGGAGCTGCGCGCGTTCGCTGTGAATTCTTTCACACTTACGTGCGCGCTCGACAAGGGCGTTAAAGGGAAGACGTGGGCAGCTCATGTCTGGCTGCCACCACGCCGTGCGAGACAGGTACCGCTGGATTTTCTCGGCGGCCAGTTCCTCAATAACATCAGTTGCGTACCCCGGGCGTGCGATCTTTGTTAACTCGCGCACATCCTCGGCGTAATCACGTAGATCTTCGCCAGGTTGGCGCCGGCGCGCCTCTAAGGCCGATTTTGCTTCCTCCTCGTCACGCGTGCCAAACCGCTGATCGAGTCGGCGCATCAGCTCCTCTAGCTGTGTCTGTGCGCTCGCGGGTAACGCTTCTACAAAATCGGCTGCCCGCCCATCAAGATTCATATTAAGTTGACGTACTGCCTGCGCGTCCGTCCATCCATTAATTTCCTTGGCCCCTAAGAGATTGCGGGCGAATGCCTTCCACGAAGGGGCCCCCCGGCCGGTAAATATTAGTCTTATTTTAGCGTGAGGTAACGCGGGGGTCCGTACCCCACTTCTGACACCAATTTGTGGGGGTCGCTAGCCCCCGAGATCCCTCCCTCGATAATGCTAACGGCCGGGCTAGCATCATCAATCGCCCCCCCGCTGCTAAGCGAACCGCTGCTAAGTTCCTCACCCATGGGGTGGGAGCCGTCGCCCGAGGATTCCACTCCACCGCGGGTCCGCGTAGCAGGCATGGTTAATTACGTACGCGCACACCCACACACACAGCTCTGTACGGCACTCACTCTTGCGCTTCTCTGCGCCGCGCTGGCCGCTCACGTTACAATCGCGCACCTGGGGTACGCCGATTACGCACGCCGCGAGCTTACGCACACACAGTACCACACGCGTTCCCACACGCAACCCGCGCGCTCAGCTCCGCGCAGCGCTCACTCCCGTGGCGAACCACTGTGCACACAGCGCACCCACACGCTCACACTGCACGACAAGATCACGCGAGACCACGCTTCGCTATTAATGATTTATTATATGCCACCTGCGAATTGATGTTGAATCAGTGAGTCGACGAGGCTGGCCTATACCACTAAACCTGTACCTATTCCCTATTTATCGGCTATGATTCTAATTCCCCTTCTTACTCACTGTTAAGTGTCCACGGCGGTCCGCTGATCCTTCTGTTAACCGCGTGCCTCGGTGCGTCGCACGGACGTCCGGGTCGCTGGCTCGAGCTGCGTCTGGTCGCCTGGCGCTGGAGTAAGAGAGCGATTTCCCCTCTGCGCTCCTCTATTTATCCTCCCTACCTCCCAAAGGGGATGCTGCGCTGAACAATGGGCTCGTGCACCCCAAGCCCGCGCACCGCAGTCCCCAGGCGCTGTTGATATGCTAATCAGTGTGCTGCGTGCAAGGCGTAAATCCTAATTACTCCCTTACCCTTCCTACCAATGGGGCTTGCGCGCTCAAGCGCAATTATCCCAACCCTCCATGACTATGCGCAACAGCCCCTGTGACCCCGCTATTCATGCTGTCCCGTGCCTCCCCTGCTCGCCCCGTCGACCCGTGGGAGTGTGTGTGGGGGGAAATGCGCCTCAACCGCGGTGGCCGAATGCCCCACGCCACGACCTACCATATTAAGGCCGGCCGCAGCGCCGCGGTGCCACGTAGCACGGGGAGGTCATCCAATTCCCTGATCGCCGGAAACCGTGAGAATTAATCCCGATAAGGGTCTCTCGGATAAAAACCGGTCGATCAGGTGACCTTCCCTTCCAGCTCTATGGGGGGGGGGGGGTGCGTGCGGGTGTGTGCTTATGTGGGGCGGGTGATGGGGGGCAGTGCGGTGGGGGAAGCCGGGCGGCTCCCTGGTTCGGCAGAGCGGCCCCGTCGTTGTGGCACCACACAGTCACGAAAGCTTCAAATCTAGAATGTCACACTCTCACCCATCAGTTTGTCACACTCTCACCCATCTCTCTGTATTGCTCCCGCACTCTCACTCGATATATTCCACTTGCTCCCTCTCACTCTTGCCCCCTTTCCCTCCCTCTCACACGCTCCCTTTCTCACACTCTCACTTACCTCTCTCTCTTTTGCTCCCTCACTCAGGGATGCAGGGAGGGATGCAGGGAAGGTGACAGGGTTTACATCTCCGATGAGCGAGCTAAAGAAGTTCCCCATGCAGAGAGGGAGGGAGGGAGGCATCTGTCTGGAGCGCTCCTCACCCTCTCACCCTCTCACAGTGCCACTGCTGCTGCTGCTGTTGCTACTGCGGTTCACCCTCCTCCCGCTGCTGCTGCTGTGGCTCTCAGTCTGCGAGCTGTGCAGGGATTTCTACCTGGGGGAGTGCTCCGTGCACGGCCCGCCAGAGTTCATCGCGGACGCGGCCGTGGCCCCGGGAGTGGCCAACAGGGCCCGGCTCAGCCTGCCCCAGGGCCTCACCGTCGGCGCCTCCTCCATCGCCGGCGCCGGCCTCGGGGTGTGGAGCAACAGGAAGAAGCTGCCCAAGGGGGTGATGTTTGGGCCCTACCAGGGAGAGGTGTCTGAGGAGAACCCCATGAGCGAGTACTGCTGGCTGGTGAGCTGCTGCTGCTGCCACTGCCACTGCTGCAGCCTCCTCCTATTCCTACATCATCATCGTGTGTGTGGAGAGGAGGCTCGTGAAGGAGATACAGAGAAACCCATAGCCTCACACAGTCCCCCACAGACTCACACAGTCACCCAGAAACTGGCACAGAGAGACCCAGAGACTTTGCACAGAGACCCAGAGGCTCGCATAGAGAGACCCACAGACTTGCACAGAGACCTAGAGACTTGAACAGAGACCCAGAGACTCACAGTGGGACACACAGACTCACACAGAGACCCAGAGACTCGCACAGAGAGACCCAGATACTCACACATAGGCTCAGAGAATCGCACAGAGACCCACAGACTCACAGAGAGACCCAGAGACTTGCACAGAGACTCGCACAGAGACCCAGAGAATCGCACAGAGACCCACAGTCTCACACAGAGACCCAGAGACTCGCACAGAGCCTTAGAGACTTGCACAGAGACTCAGTGACTCACAGAGGGACCCACAGACTCACAGAGAGACCCAAAAAATTAACGTAATTACGAGTTAAACTTGTAACCCACAGTAGCCGCTCGCTCGCAAGGACAGAACAACTTCAATGCGCGAGGAGGAACCACAGACAAGTGGTTCTGCCTCACGCACTCCTTACACACAAATAAACCATGATACCTCGCCGCTGATCTCGTCAAGAAGCATAAACCATCATCACGCAAACTCTGTTCATGCTCACAGATACCCATAGACTCACACAGAGACACATAGACTCGCACATAGACCCATAGACTCGCACAGAAACCCATAGACTCGCACAGAGACCCATAGACTCGCACAGAGACCCATAGATTCACACAGAGACCCATAGACTCGCACAGAGACCCATAGCTTCACACAGTCACCCACAGACTCACACAGAGACCCAGAGACTGGCACAGAGAGACCCAGATACTCACATAGAGGCTCAGAGAATCGCACAGAGAGACCCACAGTCTCACACAGAGACCCAGAGATTCGCACAGAGACCCAGAGCCCCACACAGTCACCCACAGACTCGCACAGAGACCCAGAGAATCGCACCGAGAGACCCACAGACTCACACAGAGACCATAGAGACTTGCACAGAGACCCAGAGACTCGCATAGAAACCCATAGACTCGTACAGAGACCTAGAGACTCACCCAAAGAATTTCAGAGAGACCCCCAGAATCACAGAGAGACCCAAAAATTAACGTAATTCTAATTTCAACTTGTAACACACAGCAAAGACGGTGGTCACCGCATGGCGTGGCGCTTACAGATGCACTTCTGCGGCCGTCTGGAAGGTTCTTCCTTCCAATGTTAGGAAGCCACTGAGAGCTATGCACTTTTAAATCTTGTAGGTTGAAAACGCATTTCTATAGAACTGATTTTGGTGTTTAGTTTGTTGTCCTTCTCCCGCACCTCCGATCAGCATGGTTGGCTAAGTACGGTACGAAAGAAGTTCAACTTACAGTCCAACTCACGTTAATTATCCGTGGATCTGCTCGTGTGCGTGTGTGTTTCAGATTTACAAAAACAAAAAGGATCGTGAATATGTTGATGCTCAGGATGAATCTAAGTCAAACTGGATGAGGTGATTTTTGTCTTAAGGACCACAACACAGAGATCAGAACCACCACACACAGAGACCAGAACCACCACACACAGAGACCAGAACCACTACACACAGAAACCAGAACCACTACACACAGAGACCAGAACCACCACACACAGAGACCAGAACCACTACACACAGAGACCAGAACCACCACACACAGAGACCAGAACCACCACACACAGAGACCAGAACCACTACACACAGAAACCAGAAACCACTGCACACAGAGACCAGAACCACCACACACAGAGACCAGAACCACCACACACAGAGACCAGAACCACCACACACAGAGACCAGAACCACCACACACAGAGACCAGAACCACTACACACAGAAACCAGAACCACTACACACAGAGACCAGAACCACCACACACAGAGACCAGAACCACTACACACAGAGACCAGAACCACCACACACAGAGACCAGAACCACCACACACAGAGACCAGAACCACTACACACAGAAACCAGAACCATTGCACACAGATACCAGAACCACCACACACAGAGACCAGAACCACCACACACAGAGACCAGAACCACTACACACAGAAACCAGAACCACTACACACAGAGACCAGAACCACCACACACAGAGACCAGAACCACTACACACAGAGACCAGAACCACCACACACAGAGACCAGAACCACCACACACAGAGACCAGAACCACTACACACAGAAACCAGAACCACTGCACACAGAGACCAGAACCACCACACACAGAGACCAGAACCACCACACACAGAGACCAGAACCACTACACACAGAGATCAGAACCACCACACACAGAGACCAGAACCACTACACACAGAAACCAGAACCACTACACACAGAGACCAGAACCACCACACACAGAGACCAGAACCACTACACACAGAGACCAGAACCACTACACACAGAGACCAGAACCACCACACACAGAGACCAAAACCACTACACACAGAGACCAGAACCACTACACTCAGAGACCAGAACCACTAAAGAGACCAGAACCACTACACACAGAGACCAACCCTGAGCCTCCCCTTGGTCGACTCGGCATCAAATGAGCACCCGGTACGGAGCGTGGTTCCAGCCACACCACCCCCACGTAGCGCCCAGTGCCGGCCCTTAATAGGCGCTCGCTAACGGCGCCCACCCCGCCCCCGCGTCTGCCCGCGCAGGTTCGTCAACTGCGCGAGGAATGAGCAGGAGCAGAACCTGGTGGCCTTCCAGCACAGAGGGCAGATTTACTACCGCACGTTCCGTGCCGTGGGGCCCGGCTCTGAGCTGCTGGTCTGGTACGGCGAGGAGTTCGCCCAGGAGCTGGGCATCGCCTGCGAGGCCGGGCTCTCGCGACGCCGCAGCAGCAGCAACGAGATGGCTCCCAGGGCAACCGCCAGAGACCTGCAGCCCGTGCAGCCTCCACCAAGCGAGGAACACTGTGAGCACCGCTCACCAGAGACTCGCCAATGCTCACCAGACTATAGCCACCACTCACCAGAGGTGATATCCACCACTCACCAGAGATGATATCCACCACTCACCAGAGATGAGAGCCACCACTCACCAGAGATGATAACCACCACTCACCAGAGACAATAGCCACCACTCACCAGAGACAATAGCCACCGCTCACCAGAGATGATAGCCACCACTCACCAGAGATGAGAGCCACCGCTCACCAGAGATGATTTCTAACACTCACCAGAGATAATAGCCAACACTCACCAGAGATGATAGCCACCGCTCACCAGAGATGATAGCCACCACTTACCAGAGATGATAGCCACCGCTCACCAGAGATGATAGCCACCACTCAACAGAGATGATAGCCACCACTCACCAGAGATGATAGCCACCGCTCACCAGAGACTATAGCCACCACTCAACAGAGATGATAGCCACCACTCACCAGAGATGATAGCCACCACTCACCAGAGATGATAGCCACCACACACCAGAGACGATAGCCACCACTCACCAGAGATGATAGCCACCACTCACCAGAGACGATAGCCACCACTTACCAGAGATGATATCCACCAATCACCAGAGATAATAGACACCACTCCCTAGAGATGATAGCCACCACTCACCAGAGATGATAGCCACCACTCACCATAGATGACAGCCACCACTCACCAGAGATGACAGCCACTACTCACCAGAGATGATAGGCACCACTCACCAAAGATGATAGCCACCACTCACCATAGATGATAGCCTCCACTCACCAGAAATGATAACCACCACTCAGCAGAGATGATAACCACCACTCACTAGAGATGATAGCCACCAGCCACACTGATAACGTGCAAATGAGTAACTGGTGTGGTGTGTAGTAGTAACCATCGCCACTGGGGAGACAAAGGCGGCCATGTGTGGTGTTGTCCACCCTCCCACTCGTGTGCCGTGCTGGCTTTCATAGGTGCCCGATAACAGCACTTGTCCCAAAAGCATATACAGGCTATACGGGGGTTCTTTGTCTTTGTGTGTATATATAATGGAGCCCACTGCACTACGAACCCGGCCACCTGATTACGATTCTCACTCACTGCCAACGTCAGTGGTGAATATTTAGGCCTCTCCTAGGTTGACTCAGCCTCAAATGAGTACCTAGCTTAAACGTGGAAACATCGCCACTGGAGAGACAAAGGCGGCCGGGTCTGGTGTTGGCCACCTACTCCCTCGTGTGCCATGCCGGCCTTCATAGGTACTCGCAAACAGCACTTACCCTTCATAATCAACGATTTTTGGGTTTAGATCGCGTTTATTTATAAATGTGTCGTAACCCTCCACCACCCGACACGGCCAATCAGTAAAAAATGTGTCACGTTGACAAAGACAAATAGTTTACTGCTTTAGCCCACCGGTGTGCTGAAGCAACAACATTCACAATTTGAGTACGCCGTTTCGCTGGTAATTACAACCAGCATCATCGGGCAATTCGCCAGAATGGTGAGGCTCTCCTGTGTCTCCCGTTCTTATATAGAGCAGCAGCAGGATGACGTCATCATTAACTCATTAACTCATCAGGTGCAAAGATTCAAGGGGGGAGTGATTGTAATTATATACTAGATTAGTAATCAGGCTATTGTTACGATGCGAGTTGTAGATTAGTAATCATTTGGAATGTGTTTTATTGTGATTATGCTACATTAGTAATCAGTTAGTGGTTGTTTCCCTTATAAGTAATTGTAATGTATCTTATTTAATAATACGCTTCCAGGCCGCACTAAGCCTGTAGCTGTCTGAGCGATTAAAGTTATTTCTGTTTCTCTCAATTTCAATCGATTCTCTAATTAGTCTTTGCCAGTAGTAACTAGTTTTACACAACACTTCCACGTTGTCAAAATCAATTGAGTGTCCCTGTTGGCATGCATGTTCTGCTACTGCCGACAGTTGTGTTTGTGATAGTTTAATATTTCTCTGGTGTTCTTTTAGTCTTACACTAACGTTACGCCCTGTCTGTCCAATATAGCATCTGCCACATACACAATTAATCCGATATACACCTTCTGTTGATAATTTAGGTAATTCGTCTTTAGGACAGACAGGGCGTAACGTTAGTGTAAGACTAAAAAAACACCAGAGAAATATTAAACTATCACAAACACAACTGTCGGCAGTAGCAGAACATGCATGCCAACAGGGACACTCAATTGATTTTGACAACGTGGAAGTGTTGTGTAAAACTAGTTACTACTGGCAAAGACTAATTAGAGAATCGATTGAAATTGAGAGAAACAGAAATAACTTTAATCGCTCAGACAGCTACAGGCTTAGTGCGGCCTGGAAGCGTATTATTAAATAAGATACATTACAATTACTTATAAGGGAAACAACCACTAACTGATTACTAATGTAGCATAATCACAATAAAACACATTCCAAATGATTACTAATCTACAACTCACATCGTAACAATAGCCTGATTACTAATCTAGTATATAATTACAATCACTCCCCCCTTGAATCTTTGCACCTGATGAGTTAATGAGTTAATGATGACGTCATCCTGCTGCTGCTCTATATAAGAACGGGAGACACAGGAGAGCCTCACCATTCTGGCGAATTGCCCGATGATGCTGGTTGTAATTACCAGCGAAACGTCGTACTCAAATTGTGAATGTTGTTGCTTCAGCACACCGGTGGGCTAAAGCAGTGAACTATTTGTCTTTGTCAACGTGACACATTTTTTACTGATTGGCCGTGTCGGGTGGTGGAGGGTTACGACACATTTATAAATAAACGCGATCTAAACCCAAAAATCGTTGATTATGAATAACATTGGTCGCGAAAGCCTACGTGTTAAAGCACTTACCCTATCAGTCTGATATGGCTATTGGGGACCTTTACCTTTGTATATGCACACACGTGTGCAAGAGAGTTCATGTCTAGGTGTTGGTGTGTGCGCGTGTGTCTTGTGCCTCTTGGATGATGCAGGTGGAGTGGGTGTGGAGGTCACTAGGCTGCCGTGTCCTGACTGCAACCGTCAGTTCATCTGCCGCTCGAGTCTACAGCATCACGTGCAGAGGAGACACCCCAATAAGCACAGTAACAAAAGTCATCAGTGTGACCAATGTCCATACAGCACAGACGACAAGGGTAGCTTGAAGATACACCAGAGAACACACACGGGAGAGAAGCCGTTCAAGTGCACCGTGTGTGAGAAGGTGTTTTCACAGCTATCAAATCTTCACAGGCACCAGAGAACACACACGGGAGAGAAGCCGTTCAAGTGCACCGTGTGTGAGAAGGCGTTTGCACGTCTATTAACTCTTCACAGCCACCAGAGAACACACACGGGAGAGAAGCCGTTCAAGTGCACCGTGTGTGAGAAGGCGTTTGCACGTCTATTTACTCTTCACAGCCACCAGAGAACACACACGGGAGAGAAGCCGTTCAAGTGCACCGTGTGTGAGAAGGCGTTTGCACAGCTATCACATCTTCACAGCCACCAGAGAACACACACGGGAGAGAAGCCGTTCAAGTGCACCGTGTGTGAGAAGGCGTTTGCACAGCTACCACATCTTCACAGCCACCAGAGAACACACACGGGAGAGAAGCCGTTCAAGTGCACCGTGTGTGAGAAGGCGTTTGCACGGATATCAAATCTTCACAGTCACCAGAGAACACACACGGGAGAGAAGCCGTTCAAGTGCACCGTGTGTGAGAAGGCGTTTGCAGACCCATCAACTCTTCACAGGCACCAGAGAACACACACCGGCCAGAATGCATTTTCTCATTCCCGTGGAAACAGAAAAGTCAGCCATCCTGAGCAAAAAGCGCACAGCGCCGAGCTGTGAATTAGTTTTAAACAACAGGCCACGTGATTAGCCGAGGCTGTGCCACTCTTGAAACTGATTTTGAATGTGAACACGGAAACCTACGAACCCTCCTACACCTGCCTCACACTCTGTGGGGGGTGGGAGATTAAACCGACCCGGCCACCCCTCGATTGCAAGTGCGGAGTTCTAGGTCCCAACCACTGCACGTGTCCCCCCCCACCCCCATCACCTGGGGGTCCCTGTGTGTGTGAGTGTGCAGAGTCCCCCGTGCAGAGCTGTACTGTTGTTACCCTAGAGGGGGGCACCGCAGGGTGATCCACCTACAGACACCCCAGTCTGCACGTCTCCCGCCGGTCTCCATGCGCACCGCGTGCCGTCTCGTAGCCCTGCCCCGTGAGACGTACGTACAGTACGTACAGTACGTACCCATCCAGCGGTAGACTGAACCGTGGCCGATGACGAAGGTGGCATCCGCTCACAAATCTCCGAACACTCAGTCCAGAGGTCGCAACCGGGTACCCGATACCCGTACCCTACCCGATACCCGGCCGGGTACGGGTAGCCGTTTGCGACCTTGGTGCGGCCGGGTAAGGGTAGACCATGAGTCACTGGTGAGTAACTGTCACTCATTTCCCAACGTCTTGTCTCTTCTCACAATTAAAGTTCCTAGAATCAACCCACCCGCGCCTGCAACATGGCTTCACCCCAGAGGTCGCAATCAGGTACCCGATACCGGGTACGGGTACCTGTTTACGACGCTGGTGCGGCCGGGTCTGGGTAAGGAATCAAAACCCGTTTGCGACCTCTGACTCAGTACCGTAGCCCCGAGCCATCGCTTGCGCGATATTCACTTTGCTGCTGAGAGGAAAGCTACGGGGAGGAGGTGGGGGGGTTGCTAGGATAGGACATCTGTGGAACGGCTGGAGATCTGCGAAGAAGAGCTTCATAGCTCATCGCATTCCTGCGGTCTAAAAAAATATTCCGAGGGGGCGTTGGGAGGGGGGTGTAGGTATGAGTGGGGCATCTGCACTTGGATCACCCTGCGTGTTGTTGCTGCCTCCCCCGTTGAAAATGTTCCCAGCGTGAACTTAACCCTTTGCAGTTGCGACGACGCCGCGTGCCGTGCGTGAACGTCGTCGTCGGAACAACAAAACGCAGTAAAAACTAAAGTAACTTTATCGGTACCGAGGCTCCCACAGGGCCACGCGGGGCAGGGAGTGTGGCACAGTTTTGGCGCCGGCTAGCGCAGAGTGGCGGCGGTCGTGTCGCTACGCTTCTCTGCGGTGAGCAACGACGTCTTTATAACAACAACAACAGCAGTGCTGCTGCTGCCACTGCTGCGCCTCTCTAAATAGAATTAACGAGGGCGAGCCGCGCGCTCGATTCGCGGGATTCTGCGGTGAACGGTGACACCCACCCGTGAACGGTGACACCCACCCCGTGAACGGTGACACCCACCCGTGAACGGTGACACCCACCCCGTGAACGGTGACACCCACCCCGTGAACGGTGACACCCACCCCGTGAATGGTGACACCCACCCGTGAACGGTGACACCCACCCCGTGAACGGTGACACCCACCCCGTGAACGGTGACGCCCACCCCGTGAACGGTGACACCCACCGACCCTGGAACTCTGCAGACGTCTCGGACGCGGGAAAGGGTTGAGAGATTCTCTGCGTCGTCCCGGTTGCTCGCGTGATGTCGCACGGTGGTGGCGCGCGTTGACTCTTACACGTTTAAGAAAGTTGAGCGTTAGTTTGTGATTCTGTTTACAATTATATATGTACATACTTAAACTAACAAAAATTTTCTTGGGATTTTACCAAATAAGGTCCAACTGGATACGTAGTAGCTCTTTTATCAGACGTGACCACCTGGCCATCACGAATGAAAGCTCAACGAAGTGGCTTATCATTGTGTGGACATTTATAGCGGCCAAATACTCTGACTGCGTGATCTCGATTCTAAATGTCGAGGGAAAACCGGAGGACCTGGAGAAAAATCCACACGACCACGGGGAGAGAGAGAGACGCGCAAACTCAAAATATACAGCAGGCGTCAGGGTCGGAATCGAACCAACGATCTCCTGTATACCAGGAGAGGTAGTTAACATCTCAACATGCGTTCAGAGTATTTGGCTGCTGTGAATGTCACGTGATGAGCCACTTCGGTGCGCTGCTGTCATTTGTGATAGCCAGGTCGCTACTACACAGCTCAGTGGGGGCCTTACCTGGAAAAGTAAAGTGAAGTAAAACTAAAATCTACTATATTCTTGGTTCTTTTGGTAAAGTCACGTAGAAGGGAAATAATAAAATAATAAAAATAAAACATAATAAATTATATTCTAATATTATTTTATGTTATTTGGTTATATTATTATTTTATATTACTTTATTATAGTAATATATTCTATTATTTTATTATTATAATATAAAATATTATATTATTATATTTTTTCATAACGTTTTATTTTCATTATTTTATTATTTACCTTCTACGTGACTTTACCGAAAGAACCAATAAGATGAATCCCTGCAGTCACGAAAGCTTTAAATCGAAATTTTACATAGACTTTGATTGCTTCAACCAGAAAAACTTTAATAATAACCCTAACCCTAAAAATGCTTAAATTGATCAAATTGAGATTCTTACTTCCATTTATACGCTTTTTAGATGTCGATTGAAGTTCGTTGTCGGCTGTTCTCTGTGTGGATAATTGCCTTTGAACTTTCACATGGGGCATATTCTGCCCTGGAGAGGGGGTATGGTCTGGACCAGTCTAGTTTAAACCCCCGGGTCTAGTTTAGCCTAGGACACTGTATCCCCCCGGGTATACTCTGGCCTGGGCCAAACTATACCCGGGTTTAATCGGGGCAGGGTTTTTTAAAAAATCCTTTATATTAAGTTCACTTGCTTGCTTGCTTGCGCGCTTACGACCGTGCAAATCTTTCAGTCGTTTTTAACCCACTTCCCGTGATCCAATCGAGTTGACATTTTTCACACAGACTCGTTGTGCGTGACAATTTATTTTCGTGAAATTTTTTTTCCAAAATTTTCCACTTTTTAGGAATTTTTTTTCTATTTAATTACCAATTGCTTAATGGTGGCAGGCAATCATCTGACCCATAGGTGGCAGTCATCTCAAGCCAGAGGACGAGAGGACTCTAGCCGCCACGCATATAAAGGATTTATAGTGAAAAACTTTGTTTTTACGGGTTAATTTTTAGCCTGTTTCACCGGTATCTCCAGGAGGTCGGAGCGACTTACTCTGTGGTGACACTTTTCCGTGACAGAGGTTTGGTTTTTGTTGTTGTTGTTGTTGGGTTAGAGATCTCGTAAATATCAACATTGTGTCGTTAACCCACCACCACCCACCACCATCGCCTGACACGGCCAATCAGTCAGGGTTTGTCACGTAAACGAAACGTGCCAATTGGTTACCAACTTCAGCACACACAGCGCTTGTGTGTCGGGGAGAGTGAACCCACAACAGCATTTACAATTCGAGTGCCGGTGACGTTTCGCCGGTGATTACAAACAACGGCGACCGGTTTCATCGGGCGATGTGCCAGGATTGTGATCCAACGCCATCTAACCCAGCAGCAGCAGCAGCAGCGACGACAACAAAAACCTTCATCACAGACACCGCTGGTCGCAAGAGACTGCGCGTGGCGCTTTGTGTTGCCGTTGCCACGAATCGTCGAAGGGCGTTCACGATCTGTTGTTCTCCTGTAACGCGGTGGTCATTTCGATTTAAAGCTTCTTTCGTGACTGCAGGGATTCATCTTCTTGGTTCTTTCGGTAAAGTCACGTAGAATGGAAATAATTAAATAATAAAAATAAAGCAATAAAGTAATTGTTTTATTTTTATTGTTTTATTATTTAATAATAAAAATAAACATTTACTTTATTATGTTATATTTTTATGGAAATAATAAAAATAATAAAAATAAAACAAGAAAGTAATTGTTTTATTTTTATTATTTAATAATAGAATAATAAAAATAAACATTTACTTTATTATGTTTTATTTTTATGGAAATAATAAAATTTAAACAATAAAGTCATTGTTTTATAATTATTATTTTTATTTAATAATAAAATAATAAAAATTAACATTTTCTTTATCATGTTTTATTTTATTTATTTTATTATTTCCATTCTACGTGACTTTACCGAAAGAACCAAGAAGAGGTGGTCATTGTTGCGTTCCTGAAGAACACCGCGTTGTGGAGAAATAATATAAACTATAGGGGGTGAAGCGTGGTCCGCGACAACACGCGAGATGATGGGTAAGACAGAGGCCGGACTACGACTGAGGCGCGTGGGTAGCGTCTAGAAGCAGCATCCAGCAGCATCCCAATGCCTCCTCGCGTGATGCCGCTACGCCGAGGCAGCCGCACGGAGAACCGCTTGTTCCTACTCGCGTTGCGACCTCGTTCCGTTCGCTCGCTCGCGTTGCATCCAATCCGCATCCGCGTCACAAACAGCGTGTTCCCCTACACATCATTCATGGCGTTATATCATCCAATCGGCGTTGTTCAAACTAACACGCGGCGTTGTAGGAGAACCAGACTGTGCCGTTGTCTTCTGCTGTTTAACGCAGAGGCCGCATCGACCGTTCCAATAGTCGCTGTAGCCACTGCGAGCCCCAAGCTGTCGGCTCCCGGCTCTTAAACTGCCCCCCCCCCCCTGGCGTTATCTGTAGTCGTTACACACAGCAGCACCTGGTCACAACTGCTCGCTGCTAATCCTAACAACACCAATCCTAGTCGTCATCCCTGCACCTCAAGGATGGTAACACTATGACCCAACAAAATTACACATCACACTGTCCGACAGATTGCAAGTCACACGGCCCTACAGAATTCAATTCACACTCCCCTACAGATTTCAATTCACACGACCCTACAGAATTCAATTCACACTCCCCTACAGATTTCAATTCACACGACCCTACAGAATTCAATTCACACTCCCCTACAGATTTCAATTCACACGCCCCTACAGATTTCAATTCACACGCCCTACAGATTTCAATTCACACGCCCCTACAGATTTCAATTCACACGCCCTACAGAATTCAATTCACACGCCCCTACAGATTTCAATTCACACGCCCCTACATAATTCAATTCACACGCCCCTACAGAATTCAATTCACACGCCCCTACAGATTTCAATTCACACGCCCCTACAGAATTCAATTCACACGCCCCTACAGAATTCAATTCACACGCCCCTACAGATTTCAATTCACACGCCCTACAGATTTCAATTCACACGCCCCTACAGAGTTCAATTCACACACCCCTACAGATTTGTCCTGGTCATGTGCCTACCTTTCCTCTACTCTGCACTGCTACGGTGTTTATTGTGTTGTGTTTGTTGTTGTGGCGTTCTGACCACGTGCCCCAACTGGACTTCTGTGGAAAATAAAGAGCTTCACAGCTCATCGGATTCCTCCAGAATAAAAATTTTAAACTTAAAAACTCTGACGACGTCACTGCGTGGTGACGTCACGCGTCTCGCCCCCCCACTCCCCCGTTACCCCCACCCCTCCCACCCTCCATTCCCCCCTCCCACCACTCACCAACCGCAATTCCGCCCCCACCCCTTTTCCCGCCCACTCACCCCCACCCCCGATGCCCCTCCCCCCCACTCCCCCAACCGCCATTCCCCCCCCACCCCCACCCCCCACTCCCCCCCACTCCCCCCCACCACCAACCGCCGCCATTGGCCACTGAGTGACGGTGACGTCACCACGGCGCCTGTGCCAGGCTGGGTGCACTTCGAGGCTGCCGCGTGAAGTGTCGACGGCTCGACACTGAGGTGGTGACGTCACGCGAGCGTTGTGTTTAACGATTTAACCACGTGACGATATTACGATATTAGCGTAAAGATATGAACATTAGCTGAAGTGATGTGAATACGTTCGGATTACCTCAAGTAATGTTACATTTACCTGAGGTGATGTTACCTTGCCTGAGGTAAAGTTACCTCGCCTTCCATTGCATTTCGATTACCTTACCCTGAGGTAATAATCACGCGATAATTGTGTTTACCGATTTAACTACGTGAGAATATTACGATAGGGTCATTAGCTGAAGTGATGTGAATACGTTAGGATAACATCAAGTAATGTGTGGTGCCACAGCGACGGGGCCGCTCTGCCGAGCCAGGGAGCCGCCCGGCTTCCCCCACCGCACTGCCCCCAATCACCCGCCCCACATAAGCACACACCCGCACGCATCCCCCCCCCCCCCCCCCATAGAGCTGGAAGGGAAGGTTACCCGATCGACCGGTTTTTATCCGAGAGACCCTTATCGGGATTAATTCTCACGGTTTCCGGCGATCAGGGAATTGGATGACCTCCCCCGTGCTACGTGGTACCGCGGCGCTGCTGCCGGCCTTAATATGGTATGGTCGCGGCGTGGGGCATTCGGCCACCGCGGTTGAGGCGCATTTCCCCCCACACACACCCCCACGAGTCGACGGGGCAAGCAGGGGAGGCACGGGACAGCATGAATAGCGGGGTCACAGGGGCTGTTGCGCATAGTCATGGAGGGTTGGGATAATTGCGCTTGAGCGCGCAGGCCCCATTGTTAGGAAGGGTAAGGGAGTAATTAGGATTTACGCCTTGCACGCAGCACACTGATTAGCATATCAACAGCGCCTGGGGACTGCCGTGCGCGGGCTTGGGGTGCACGAGCCCATTGTTCAGCGCAGCATCCCCTTTGGAGGTAGGGAGGATAAATAGAGGAGCGCAGAGGGGAAATCGCTCTCTTACTCCAGCGCCAGGCGACCAGACGCAGCTCGAGCCAGCGACCCGAACGTCCGTGCGACGCACCGAGGCACGCGGTTAACAGAAGGATCAGCGGACCGCCGTGGACACTTAACAGTGAGTAAGAAGGGGAATTAGAATCATAGCCGATAAATAGGGAATAGGTACAGGTTTAGTGGAATAGGCCAGCCTCGTCGACTCACTGATTCAACATCAATTCGCAGGTGGCATATAATAAATCATTAATAGCGAAGCGTGGTCTCGCGTGATCTTGTCGTGCAGTGTGAGCGTGTGGGGGCGCTGTGTGCACAGTGGTTCGCCACGTGAGTGAGCGCTGCGCGGAGCTGAGCGCGCGGGTTGCGTGTGGGGACGCGTGTGGTACTGTGTGTGCGTAAGCTCGCGGCGTGTGTAATCGGCGTACCCCAGGTGCGCGATTGTAACGTGAGCGGCCAGCGCGGCGCAGAGAAGCGCAAGAGTGAGTGCCGTACAGAGCTGTGTGTGGGGGTGTGCGCGTACGTAATTAACCATGCCTGCTACGCGGACCCGCGGTGGAGTGGAACCCTCGGGCGACGGCTCCCACACCATGGGTGAGGAACTTAGCAGCGGTTCGCTTAGCAGCGGGGGGGCGATTGATGATGCTAGCCCGGCCGTTAGCATTATCGAGGGAGGGATTTCGGGGGCTAGCGACCCCTACAAATGCTACATTTACCTGAGGTAATGTTACCTCCCGCGAGGTAACTTACCTCGCATGAGGTAAAGGAAAAGTTACCTCACCTGAAGTAATTTTACTTCACCTAATGTAATGTTACCTCGCATGAAGTGAAGTTACCTCATCTGAGGTAAAGTTACCTCACCGGTGACGATTTTCTGAACCGGTCCTGGGCCTCATCCCCTAGGTCGACTCGGCCTCAAATGAGTTCCTGGTGTAGCGGTGTGTAGTGAACATCGCCACTGGGGAGACAAAGGCGGCCGGGCGTGGTGCTGGCCACCCACCCCCCCCTCGTGTGTCGTTCCGGCCTTCATAGGCGCCGCTACTCGCTCACAGCGCTTGACCCGACAGTCTGTTAAGGCCACACGGGGGATCTTAGTCTCGTATCCCTGTGACTCTGTCTCCGTGTGACTCTGTCTCCCTGTGACTCTGTCTCCCTGTGACTCTGTCTCCGTGTGACTCTGTCTCAGTGTGACTCTGTCTCCCTGTGACTCTGTCTCCGTGTGACTCTGTCTCCCTGTGACTCTGTCTCCGTGTGACTCTGTCTCCGTGTGACTCTGTCTCAGTGTGACTCTGTCTCCCTGTGACTCTGTCTCCGTGTGACTCTGTCTCCGTGTGACTCTGTCTCCCTGTGACTCTGTCTCCGTGTGACTCTGTCTCCGTGTGACTCTGTCTCAGTGTGACTCTGTCTCCCTGTGACTCTGTCTCCGTGTGACTCTGTCTCCCTGTGACTCTGTCTCAGTGTGACTCTGTCTCCCTGTGACTCTGTCTCCGTGTGACTCTGTCTCCGTGTGACTCTGTCTCCCTGTGACTCTGTCTCCGTGTGACTCTGTCTCCCTGTGACTCTGTCTCCGTGTGACTCTGTCTCAGTGTGACTCTGTCTCAGTGTGACTGTGTCTCCGTGTGACTGTGTCTCCGTGTGACTCTGTCTCCGTGTGACTCTGTCTCCCTGTGACTCTGTCTCCGTGTGACTCCATCTCCGTGACTGCGTCTGACCGTCGTCCGCGTCTCGTCCCTCCGTGTCTCTGCGCCTCAGCAGCAGCAGGAGATGGGCGACTTCCGAGACATCAGAGGCTTCTTCACCAAGGCCGAGTGGAGCGATCTGGCCGAGTGCGAGAAGCGGCGCTACAGGAACATCAAGCAGAACCACGCCGTCCTGCTGAACCTCGGTGGGTACGGCAGGCCGAGCCTCTTCGCAACTAAACTAATTGTCGCAGTGATTATAATGATGAGACCAAGACGTCGTAGCAGAGTGGCATGCATGGGGCGCCATGATGGCGAGATGTTAACTAACTCGCCTGGTCTACATGAGGTCGTGGGTTCGATGGCGACCCTGACGATGCCTGTCATATATCTGGAGTCTGCGTGTGTCTCTCCCTGGTGAGATATTAACTACCTCGCCTGGTCTACAGGAGGTCGTGGGTTCGTTCCCGACCCTGACGATGCCTGTCATATATCTGGAGTCTGCGTGTGTCTCTCCCTGGTGAGATGTTAACTACCTCGCCTGGTATACAGGAGGTCGTGGGTTCGATGGCGACCCTGACGATGCCTGTCATATATCTGGAGTCTGCGTGTGTCTCTCCCCGGTGAGATGTTAACTACCTCTCATGGTCTACAGGAGGTCGTGGGTTAGAGCCCGGTCCTCCGGTTTTTGCTCCACTTGTAGAATCAACATCACGCGTTTAGAGTATTTGTCTGCTGCTATAAATGTCCACGTGGTAAGCCACTTGGTTGAGCTGTCATTTGTGGCAGCCAGGTCGCTTCTGAAGAAGGAGCCAATAGCTCAGTGGACTTCACCTGGTGAAGTAAAAATAGATTTAGTTTTAGTTTAATGATTTGTTTACCTTTCCTCTACTTTGCACGCCTATCGTGTTTGTGTTTTGTGTTGTAACTTTCTGACCCCGTGCCCCCTATGGGACATCTATGAAAAAGAGCTTCATAGCTCATCGGATTCATAATTCTAGTCACGTAGGTAAAAAATAAAATAAAAATTAATCAAAGTAAAATTAAAATTTATAAAAGTACTTTTATTAATTTAAATTTTATTTTTTACCTACGGATTCATAATGTTGGAGAGTAAACCCACAACATTTACAAAAATAGTTTATTTTGACTTAAAACTTTCGTGACTGCAGGAATTCATATTCTTTGGTTCTTTCGATAAAGTGACGTAGATAGAAAAACTAAAATAAAAATAAAGTGAATAATAAAAATGATAAAGCACTCATGTATAATCAAAACTTTTGAGTTATAAATTAGTCTTCTTGGTTCTTTCGGTAAAGTCACATAGAAGGGAAAAAAAAAACATAAAATACAATTATTAAAATACAATTTTAATGTTTTCTTTTTAATATTTTATTATTTCCCTTCTACGTGACTTTACCGAAAGAACCAAGAAGATGAATCCCTGCAGTCACGAAAGCTTTAAATTGAAATGTATACATTAGTGTTTTTTAATGGAGCAGTCTAATTAGTGTCTTATTTTTATAATTTTTTATTCACTTAATTTGTATCATTTGAACTGCCTCTATTGGGAGGGTTTCCACATAACCATGAGATCTTTTAACAATCTCCGTGACAAGAAAGTTCATCTGATCGAGTCACTCACATTTCTGAAGAGATGCCGTGACTCTAACGTAATACCGATCTCATTGACACTGATTTCTGCTGCAGTCACATCTTCCAATGCCAGACGAATTTTGTTCAGGGCGAGCTTGGCCCTGATCTCAGAGAGAATTAGACTGCTCCATACTGAACTAGATCATGTAGACAAGACACTCTTGAAATCACACTTAACATTGATGGGAAAAATGTCGACATCTGATTGGGAACATGTAGATAACATGACCGCTTAATCAGCCACTACAATGTCAGCGAAATGTAAAGATCTGATTTTCGAGTTCAACCTCCTTTCTAACAAGAAACCAGATCCACACGTTAAAAGGTTAGACGTTGACAAGGTTGTTATTAATCTGAGTAATAGCCCAATGTGCGATGGTCTAGAGTCGGTTTTGGCTAAAGGGTTGAACTTCTTAGTCACCCCCAAACACATTCCAGTGGATGACGTTATTGCCCAGGTCGATGTCGCTCTTAAGGGTTTGGGGCGCATCGCTGCAGACGTTACAAGATCTGAAATTGCTGCAACCCTCAAAAGCGCTAAGATACCAGTCAGCAACAGCAGTGAGGATGAACTTTTTGTGGTTTTTGATTATTTTTATTCACTTTATTTTTCTATCTACGTGACTTTGCCGAAAGAACCAAAGAATATTTACAAAAAAAATTCTTTTGTGTGTGTGTAATTTGTTTACCTTTTCTATACTTTGCACTCCTATCGTGTTTACTGTATTGCTTGGGGTTATTGTAGCAGCCAAATAATATAAATGAACGTAGTAGCGGTACACCGTTGCGCTGTATGAAATAATCATCACATTTTTGGCAAAAGTTATTTATTTCCTCGCGATTCGAGACCCCAGACAGAAGGATATTTTGGGGTGGTGGTGGTGCGTCAAAATCAGTTGTCGTGATGCCAAAGCGGTGGGAAGACGGAACGTGACATGAGCAGCACTGAACACGAAGCTTCGCAGTCTGTTGCCGTACAGCGGCGCCCAGTCTGATGACGATCGGCTGCTCCGTGCTCCAGTGGCAAGATTGGACTCCTCGTGCCCCTAGAGACTCGGTCGGACGGTGCCTCGATACGACTCGTGGTGTCGCCACCGCACGTTCGGAATGGGGGACGCGGCTGCTGAATCTGAGTGCAACTTCTGATGGAGAGTCCTGCAGCTCACTCAAGGGGCAACGGCGACATCGTCGGGACTATGAAAAATAAGAATCGGTTTTACTCTTTATGGGAATGAAACAGGAGGTGTTAAGATGTTCAAACACCAAATAGATTATAGCTTTTGCAAGGAATCAGGTTACTGCATTAACCACGCGTACTGAACACTGCAAACAAACACTCTCTGATAACATTTAATCATTGTCTTTGATACTGATTGGTCTACCCCAGAGACAGCCTTCTTCATGGCCTAGTCTCACCAGTGTCAGACCAGAGAACAACACCAAAAGGCGACCAGTACAAAGACAATGCAGTGTCAAGAGCATTTATAGCTCGGGGTGAGTAGCTATATCATTGGACCTTTTTGCCAGAATCAAAGTATAAAAAATAGGAATCGGTTTTACCCTTTCTGGCAATAAAACAGGAGCTGTTAAGATGTTCACACACCAAATAGATGATTCCTTTTTGCAAGGAATCAAGTTACTGCATTAACCACGCGTACTTGTGTTGAACACGCAAACAAACACGCTCTGATAGTAATCACATCATCAGGACTGTGTTACGAGGACCCGTTGTGTTGCTATGCTGCACCGGTGTACCGCCAATACGTCCAAATAACAATGACCGCCTGTCTCCTTGCGCAGGGATGAACCCGGCCCAGCCCGAGTTCATGCGCGCACGCGGCAAGCGCAGGGCGAGGGGGAATGGAGCGGAGTGCGGGCGGTCGAGCGACTCCGACGAGGAGTGGACGGGGAGGAGGAAGAGGAAGGAGGTGGCGATGCACGGAGGACGAAGAGGCGGAGGCAAACGTAAAAGGGCGCTTGCAGACCGTGCAGAGACCCCCTGTAGACTTACACAGAGACCCCCTGTAGACCCACTGTAGACTCACACAGAGACCCACTGTAGACTCACGCAGAGACCCCCTGTAGACTTACACAGAGACCCCCTGTAGACTCACACAGAGACCCCCTGTAGACTCACACAGACACCCCCTGTAGACTCACACAGAGACCCCCTGTAGACTCACATAGAGACCCCTGCAGACTCACACAGAGACCCATGTAGACTCACACAGAGACCTCCTGTAGACTTACACAGAGACCCCCTGTAGACTCACACAGATACCTCCTGTAGACTCACACAGAGACCCCATGTAGACTCACACAGAGACCCCTGTAGACTCACATAGAGACCCCCTGTAGACTCACACAGAGACCCCCTGTAGACTCACGCAGAGACCCCCTGTAGACTCATGCAGAGACCCCTGTAGACTCACGCAGAGACCCCCTGTAGACTCACGCAGAGACCCCCTGTAGACTCATGCAGAGACCCCTGTAGACTCATGCAGAGACCCCTGTAGACTCATGCAGAGACCCCCTGTAGACTCACACAGAGACCCCCTGTAGACTCACACAGAGACTCCTGTAGACTCACGCAGAGACCCCCTGTAGACTCACGCAGAGACCCCTGTAGACTCACGCAGAGACCCCCTGTAGACTCACACAGAGACCCCCTGTAGACTCACACAGAGACCCCCTGTAGACTCACGCAGAGACCCCCTGTAGACTCACACAGAAACCCCGTGTCGACTCACACAGAGACCCCCTGTAGACTCACAGAGAGACCCCTGTAGACTCACAGAGACCCCCTGTAGACTCACGCAGAGACCCCTGTAGACTCACACAGAGACCCCCTGTAGACTCACACAGAGACCCCCTGTAGACTCATGCAGAGAACCCTGTAGACTCGCTTGATGAAGCTGGTTGTAATCACCAGCGGAACCAAGTTAAATGCCCGCTCACGGCCAACACCAGTGACGACGATCCGAACCGGTCCTGAGCCTCCCCTAGGTTGATTCAGCGTCAAAATGAGTACCCGGTGCAGTGGTGTGTAGTAAACATCACAACCGGGGAGACAAAGACGGTCGGGCGTGTTGCTAGCTGCCCATCCCCCCGTGTGCCGTGCTGGCCTTCGTAGATGCTGCTTGCTGACAGCACTTGACCGCAACAGTCTGTGAAGGCTACACGGGGCATCTTTTTAATTGTGGACCGAGTTGGCACAGTCGTGGGCACAGGTGGTGCATCTGGCAGTCATCTCAGTAAACCCATGGCACCTGCAGGGTCCGTCTCGTGACCTTCTGCACCTAGCCTGGCACAACAGTCAACCCATGGCATGGCACCTGGTTCTGTCCTGTGACAACAGTCTGTTAAGGCGGCACAGGGGAGATCATTGACTTTTTGGTAAATATGTGAGTGAGTAAATGTTTGCATGCGTAAATACGCGTGTGGGTGTGTTCACACGTGTGTGTGTGTTAATGCATTTCCGTGTGTTCACACGTGTGTGCGTGTGTTAACGCGTGTGCATATGGGGAGCGGTAGTGTAGCGGTTAGCGCGCTGTGCTATGAACCCGGCGACCCGGGTTCGATTCCCGCTCACGGTCAACACCAGTGACGATTATTTGAACTGGTCCTGGGCCTCCCCTATGTCGGCTCAGCCTCAAATGAGTACCTGGTGCGGTGTGTAAACATCACCACTGAGGAGACAAAGACGGTCGGGCGTGGTGCTGGCCACCCACCCCCTCGTGTACCGTTCTGGCCTTCATAGGTGCTCACTAACAGCACTTGCCCCTACAGTCTGTTAAGGCTATACGGGGGATCTTTGTCCTTGCATATGTTCATGCGTATCCGTGTGTTCACACGTGTGTTCACGTGTGTGTGTTCACGTGCGTGCTTGTGTTCACGTGCGTGCGTGTGTTCACGTGTGTGTGTGTTCACGTGTGTGCGTGTGTTCACGTGTGTGCGTGTGTTCACGTGCGTGCGTGTGTTCACGTGCGTGCGTGTGTTCACGTGCGTGCGTGTGTTCACGTGCGTGCGTGTGTTCACGTGTGTGCGTGTGTTCACGCAGGAGGAGGCAAGGGGGCTGCTTCACGCTGGGCCACCGTGGGAGAGTCTCACGCGAGGGCAGCTCCCAGCAAGCGCAAGGTCTCTGTGCACAGCGCACGGCACTCCTCTCGTTACAGCTGCTGCTACTGTTGTTGTTGTTGTCTTTAGTTTGTTGTCCTTCCCCCGCACCTCCCATTAGCGAGGTTGGCTACGTACGGTGCCAAAGAAATTCAGCGTACATACATACTACTAGACACTGCTATAGCAGGGACGTGCGGTCAGGGGAGGCAGGCGAGGCAGAGCCTCACCTGTCATATACTCCAATGAAAATAGCTGTTAGGGGCCGTCCATAAATGACGTCACGCGATTTTGAACAATTTTTGACCCCCACCCCCTCGTCACATGGCGTCACAAAAAGTCAGACCCCCCCTCAAATATGACGTCACAAAGC